TAGAGATTTATATAACTTACTAGAGGCCCGGTGCATGAAATTTGTGCACGGTGGGGAGGTCCCTCAGCCCGGCCTGCATCCTCTCCAATCTGGGACCGCTCAGGGGATGTCTGGGACCACTGGCTCCTAACCTCTCACCTGCCTGCCTGCCTGATCGCCCCTAACCTCTCTGCCTACCTGCCTGGTTGCCCCTAACTGCCTTTGCATGCCTACCTGGTTGCCCCTTACTGCCCTTCCCTGCTGGCCTGGTTGCCCCTAACTGCCCTCCCCTGCCGGCTTGGTCGCCCCTAACTGCCTGCCCCTCCCGGCCTGGTCGCCCTTTACTGCCCTCCTCTGTCAGCCTGGTTGCCCCTAACTGCCCTCCCCTATCAGCCTGGTAGCCCCTAACTGCCCTCTCCTGCTGGCCTGGTCACCCTTTACTGCCCTCCTCTGTCAGCCTGGTTGCCCCTAACTGCCCTCCCCTGCCGGCCTGGTAGCCCCTAACCGCCTCTGCCTCGGCCCCCGCCACCATGGCTTTGGATGGATGTCCGGAAGACATCTGGTCTAATTAGCATGTTACCCTTTTATTAGTATAGATGAAGTGATCACCCCAATAAATCTAGTCTCTATCTGACACCATACATAGTTATTACAATATTATTTTTTAATCCTCTCCTGAGAACATTTCCATTTATTTTTAGAGAGAGTGAAAGAGGGAAAGACAGAGAGAAATACAGTGGGGCCTTGACTTATGAGTGTCCCGACTAACGAGTTTTTCGAGATACGAGCCGTCTCTTGGCCGATTTTTTGCTTTGAGTTGCAAGCTAAAATTCGTGTTACGAGCCAGCTTCAGATACCCCACCGCTAGTTGGCGCAGCGAACGTCACAGTGAACACCACAACATCAGCCCAGCATCACGTATCTCACTCATTCACTTTAAGATTTGACATACGAGTAATTTGAGTTACGAGCTCCGTCACGGAACGAATTAAACTCATAAGTCAAGGCCCCACTGTATTAATGTAAGAGAACACAAGGCCTGGGCTGGGGAGGACCCTGCAAATGAGGTCCATGCCCTTGACCAGAATCGAACCCGGGACCCTTTGGTCTGTAGGCTGATGCTCTATCCACTGAGCCAAACTGGCTAGGGCTACAATATTATTGACTATATTCCCTATACTGTACTTAACATCCCCATGACTATTCTGTAACTACCAACTTGTACTTCTTAATCCCATCAATTGTTACACTCACCCCCTCACCCCCTCCCATCTGGCAGCCATCAAAATATTTTCTGTACCTATCAGCCTCTTTGTGATTTGCCTGTTCATTTGTTTTTTAGATTTCCCATATAAGTGAAAGCATATGGCATTTGTCTTTCTCTGTCTGACTCATTTCACTCAGCATAATACCCTCTGGGTCCATCCATGTTGTTGCTGATGGGGAGATTTACTGATTATTTATAGCTCAGTCATATTTTATTGTATACTAGAGGCCCGGTGCACAAAAATTTGTGCACTCGGGGGGGAAGGGGGAGTCCCTCAGCCCGGCCTGTGCCCTCTCGCAGTCTGGGACCCCTCGGGAGATAACGACCTGCTGGCTTAGGCCTGCTCCCGGGTGGCAGAGGGCAGGCCCAATCCCTAGGTGCAGCCCCTGGTCGGGCTCAGAGCAGGGCTGATTGGGGAGTTGGGGCGCCGCCCCCTGTCATGCACAGAGCAGGGCGGATTGGGAGGTTGCGATGCCACCCCTAGTCACGCTCAGGGTAGGGCCGATTGGGGGATTGGGGCACCACCCCCTATCACACTCAAGGCAGGGTCGATGGGGAGGTTGCGGCGCCACCCCCTGTGACGCACAGAGCAGGGCCAATCAGGGGGTTGGGGCACTGCCCCTTGTCACGCACAGAGCAGGGATCATCAGGGGGGTTGGGGCTCTGTACCCTGTCATGCACAGAGCAGGGCCAATCAGGGGGTTGGGTGCTGCCCCCATGTCATGCACAGAGCAGGGCCCATCAAGGGGTTTGAGGAGCTCCCCCCCCTTCACTCACAGAGTAGGGCCGATAGGGGAAGTTTTGGGCACCCGCCCCCCTGTCACACACACAGCAGGGCGGATCAGGGGTTGGGGCGCCGCCCTCTATCACCCACAGAGCAGGGCCGATCAGGGGGTTGGGGCGCCGCCACTGTCACACTCAGGGCAGGGCCGATTGGGAGGTTATGGCTCTACCCCATCACACACAGAGCAGGGCCCGTGTAGGGGGGGGGTTGGGGTGCCGCCCTCTATCACCCACAGAGCAGGGCTGATCAGGGGGTTGGGGTGCCGCCACTCTCACACTCAGGGCAGGGCCGATGGGGAGGTTATGGCTCTACCCTGTCACAGAGCAGGGCCTGTGGGGGGGGCGGGTTGGGGTGCTGCACCCTGTCACACACAGAGCTGCAGGGCGATCAGGGGGTTTGGGCGCTGCCCCCTGTCACGCTGATCCGGTGCCAGGAGGCCTCGCTCTACTGATCCCGGTGCTGGGAGGCATATTACCCTTTTACTATATAGGATAGAGGCCTGGGGGCCGGCTGGTTTGCCCTGAAGGGTGTCCTTGATCAGGGTGGGGGTCCCCACTGGGGTGCCTGGCCAGCCTGGATGAGGTGATGATGGCTGTTTGCAGCTGGTCACACACCCTTCAGGGTGGGGGTCCCTACTGGGGTGCCTGGCCAGTCTGGGTGAGGAGCTGAGGGCTGCTTTCAGGCTGGCAGTTGACTGAAGCTCCCAACTGCTCCTTTTTTTCTTTTTTCTTTTTTTTATTCTGGGCCAGCTTTAGCTCTGGCTCTAGCTCTGAGGCTTCTGCTGCTGAAAGCAGCTATCTGGTTTGTTTGCATTCTATAATCGAAACAATGTATAACTCCAGCTCTGAGATCCTGGCCGTCTGAAAGCTGGTTTCTGGGGTTTTGTTTAGCTCCTATATTTGTTACAATGGTTCTTAGAGTTGCAGCTCAGAGGCCGGCAAGTCAGGCGGGGAACGTTGGAGTCCGCAGTCACTGGAGCAAGCAAGCCTCATGTTCACTTCCAGCTGCCTGGCTGCCGGCCGCCATCTTGGCTGACAGTTAATTTGCATAAGGATATGCTGATTAGCCAATGGGAAGGGTAGCGGTCGTACGCTAATTACCATGTTTCTCTTTTATTAATGTAGATATGCACTACTTCTTCTTTATCCACTCATCCATCAGTGGACATTTAGGTTGCTTCCATATCTTGGCTATTGTAAATAATGCAGCAATGAATATATGAATGCATATATCTTTCCGATTTAGTGTTTTGGATTTCTTTGGGAAAATACCCAGAAGTGGAATTGCTGGGTCCTTCTTTGTCTCTTATTATAGCTTTTTTAAAAAAAGTCTATTTTGTCTGGTATTGCTACTCCAGCTTTTGTTTGTTCATTTGTTTCTATTTTCATAAAATACATTTTTCCATCCCTTTACTTCCAGTCTCTGTGTGTCTTTCAATCTGAAGCAAGTCTCTTGTAGACTGCATATGTAAGGATCTTGTTTTGTTATCCATTCAACCACCTATGTTTTTCGAATGGAACATTTAACCCATTTGCACTTAAAGTAATTATTGACACACATGTTTTTATTGCCACTTTATTATTCATATTTTAAATCTTTTATCTTCTTAAAAAAGACTTTTTAACATTTTTTTGTAATTCTGGTTTGGTGGTGATAAACTCCTTTAGCTTTCTATTGTCTGGGAAGCTCTTTATATGTCCCTTGATTCTAAATGATAACTTTGCTGGGTAGAGTAATCTTGATTGTAGGTCTTGCTGTTCATCACTTGAATATTTTGTGCCAATTCCTTCTGGGCTGCAAAGTTTCTGTTGAGTAATCAGCTGACAGTCTTATGGGAACTCCCTTGTAGGTAACTAATTACTTCTCTCTTGCTACTTTGAAGATTCTCTCTTTGTCTTTAACATTTTAATTCTGATGTGTCTTGGTGTGGGCCTCTTTGGGTTCATCTTGTTTGGGATTCTCTGCACTTTCTGAACTTGTCTGTCTATTTCCTTCTCCAGATTAGGGAAGTTTTCTGTCATTATTTTTCAAATAGTTTTTCAATTACTTGCTCTCTCTCTTTTCCTTCCAGCACCCTCAAGATGTTAATGTTGGTACACTTGATGTTCCCAAAGTTCCCTTAAAATGTCCTCATTTTTAAAAATTCTTTTTGCTGTTCTGATTGGGTGTTTTATACTTTTTTTTATCTTCCAAATCACTTGTTTGATCCTCTGTTTCATCTCCTTTACTGTTGATTCGTTGTAATATATTTTTCAATTTCATATGTTGCCCTGAAGGAATTTATATTTTAATAAGATAAAGATAGACAACACAAATAAAGGCAGTAAGATAAATTGTAATTGTTTCTGGAGGGAGATACAAACAAAATATTAGTTTGCTAGGAATATGTTAGAGGATAATCCTTCACTGAAGCGATGTTATGTGAATGGAGTCTTGGAAAATATGTTGATTTTTGGCAGTCAGAAATAAGATAAAGGACATTCTGATGAAAGGAAAAAGTATAGCATACTTTACATATTTTTAAGTCTCCCTATTTATAGCTCATAAAAACTTTGGATCTACATATCATGAACACTGACATCCAAGTTTATTAAATGTGCTTCAAAACTCTTGAAAGCATTTCGGTCTGATGCTCAAATTTCTTATAAGTTGTATCATAGCTTTCAGGTATTTTGGAGTTAATAATTTAGGTCATTTTTTAAATTCTGATTTTTAATAACTGTGAGGACAGTGAGCTATTCCTAAGGCTTAGAATAATCAACAGATTATAAATATATAAATGAAAAGCCTGATATTTCTGTAAATGTTTCTATTTACACAGTGAATTTTAATAGAGGGAGTTTTCAAAATATATAATCTTATAAAGTATTTCTCTAATACCTCCCCAAATTGCTTTCCTCCTGTTTTTTGCTACTTGGGTGAATAAATCAACTCTGCTTAAAAACAATAATAATCTCCTTTTTTTCATAGGTTTTCTGTAAAGACCCTGATTGATCGGTCCTGCTTTGAGACAATTGATGATTCTTCTCCCGAATTTAATAATTTTGCAGCTATTTTGGAACAGATTCTAAGTCACCGGCTAAAAGGTAATAGCACAAGTGTATTATTTATCTCCCAACAGCTCTCTTTTTAATAAGCTTGAAGTTTTAGAAATGATACAGTCTGGTGTGATTTAGATAGCAACCATGCCAAATCATGAGAAGCATAAAAGTGATTTTAGAATGCATAATCTTTTGGCCTACGTTCCTGAGAAAGAATCTCTGTTCTCAGATGTGTACCCATTTCCAGGATAGATTAAAAATACTGAATGTGTACTTTGAAACTCTTATTTATAGTCATAGTAAACTGTGATTCATTAGATTTTTTTCATTAGAAAAAGAACATATGTGCAATAAAATAAGTCAGTATAAGAATTTATAAGAAAAGGGTTAAATAGTGTCCTTAGCCTATTAGCTCTCTAATACCAACTCCAGATGTTAATAGAATATGTAACTTCCATAAATTTACTATAATGAAGATTACTTTAAAATGTTGTTTTGTTCTTTTGCTGTGAAATGTGTTTAATGAACATACAGAAAAGTACATACAATATATGGGTTGATTATGAAAATAATTATAAATTCCCAATCTCCCACTCCCCTCTACCCACACTCTAAGATACTCTTACATGATCTCAACCATATTCCTTTCCCCAGCGTAATCATTATCCTGATATGAAGAATGATCATTTCTTTGCCCTTGTGTGGTTCCCAGAACCCCTTTTCCTATATGGTTCCATAATGAAGTTGGGATATTCACATACATGTTCATGAATGAGAATGGCTTATAATTTTTTTCCTATTGTCTTTGTTGGGTTTTGAGATCAAGGTTTTGCATAAAACAAGTTATGGAGTATTTCCTCTCTGTCTATGTTTTGGATGAGTTGTGTGAGAATTATCTGTTACTGAAAGTTTAACAGAATTTTCTGGTAGAGCCTCTTGGGCTTTAAAAAAATTTTCTTACATGTATATTTTTTACTATCATAAAAAACTACTCATTCAAGCTTTTTAATGTCATGATACTATTCAGGTTTGGAGAATTATAACTTTATAAAAATTAGGTTGGTCATAAATCATGTTCTTTTAACATTATATAGTCTTACTAATTTTTAAAAATTGACTTGAATCAATTACCAACACAGTGGTATATTAAAACCTCTGAGATAGTGGATTTCTCTATTTCTCCTTATAGATCTGTAAATATTTCCTTTGTCTTTGAGACCATATCCTTAAGCACATAGAAATTTAAATTTATTAAGACTTCTTGATAAATTGAAACTTTAATCACTATAAAGTGACCCTTTTTTTACTCTTTTTTGGTATTAAAGTTCATTTTGTCTGCTCTTAATATAAATAAATAAACATTTTTTGTTTTTAATATAAAAATAATGAGTATATTAATTGCCACATGCAAGGAGCAGAGTCACTTTCTATAAGTAATTAAAATAAAATAAAAGGTAGCCCATCTCTAAAGATTAGTAGATGGTATTTTAATCAATTTACAAAGAAGCATCTAGGCATTAAATTTGATTGCTTAATCTCTGCTTCATTAAACTTTGAAAAAGTGTTAGCAGTAAGTAGGTTAAAAAGAGGTATGTGAAAAGAAATGCTCTACTTTGGTTTTCTTAAAATAAATCCATAAATACATTTACATCAAAAATATAAATCTCAAAATTTAAAAGGGAAGATGGGAGCTATATTCTTTCAGAGTTATAAAATATTTTTAATTAAAAATATAGATCTAAACTATAGCTGATAATAGCAAGATACCTATATAAAAGCCTAAGTGACAGTTAGGACCGAACAAACTGGATGACCAGAACGACTGGTCGACCAGTCACTATGATGCGCACTGACCACCAAGGGGCAGACGCTCAATGCAGGAGCTGTCCCCTGGTGGTCAGTGTGCTCCCACAGCCAACCTCCCGTGCCCCTCCCCCCGGCCTCCGGCCCCCATGTTAGGCCTTGATCTCTGGCCAGGCCAAGGGACCCCACCCGTGCACGAATTTGTGCCACCGGGCCTCTAGTTATATAGAATAAATATTAGTAGTATTCCTAAAGGAAACTTGATCATTAGATGTTTTCAAAGTCTTTATTATCTTTACAATATTAATGGCATAGTTTCAAATCAGTACTCTGTTTTGGTAATATAATTTATGAGAGTCTCAAATTTAATCTAAAGGTTCTATTCTCTGCTTTTTGATGTTAAAATAAACAAGTTTTACTATGAGTATTTATTAAATCACATTTTAGCAGTCCCGTGGGTTTGTGAAAAAGAGTTGAATTTAATTACATAGAGAAACAAAATCTGAATTTAGTCGGCCCTTTGCAGTTTAAAAGGTGGTCCATATAATCACTAATGCTTTTCTATTAGAAGTTGATTATTTTGCATTTAAAAATGGTTACTTTTTTCTTATGTTTGCTGTTCTGTATTTCTTAAATTTTCTGCCATTAATATATTACCTTTTATTAAAAAGTTTTTTTAAAGCAAAGGATATGAGAGTATTTTTTAAAAAATATATTTTATTGGTTTTTTACAGAGAGGAAGGGAGAGGGATAGAGAGCTAGAAACCATGGTTTCTATATTGTGTGGTGATTATATTTTTATATTTTATTTATAAATTAGTAAATGATACTTGACTAAGAAACACATGTAATATATAGAGCCTGATGTTTCTAATGTTCACAAGTTGTTTTTTTTAATCGGAAGATCTTAATTCCTGTGATATACCATTTAACATACGATTGATCCATTCACAAAATACAGAAACAATTATCAACAGAAAACAATTAGGCCACGTTGAGATATCCATGCTGAGTGATCAGATGGACTCTCTACCACAAACTGGACCCCTTCTGCACACCTGCCTGCCATCTTCTGAGTCATGTCTCAGCAAAATATAGATCAGAGACTTTTAGAATTACGTCTAATGGTAAATGTTATTTCTGAGAAGCCAATGAACTAAACTGTGTTGAAAATAGAATCTCTAGTTGATTTATGATGCAAATTTCACTAGTATTAAGGAGTAAGAAAGATGATACAGTGAGATGTGTGTTAATTTTTTAAGCTATGTAAGATTAATAATTCAAAAGTTTTATTTTTAAAAGTATATTTTTATTGATTTCAGAGAGGAAGGGAGAGGGAGAGAGAGATAGAAACATCAGTGATGAGAGAGAATGATGGGCTGCCTCCTGCATGACCCACACTGGGGATCAAGCCCAGGCATATGCCCTGACCGGGAATCGAACCGTGACCTTCTGGTTCAGAGGTCAACGCTCAACCACTGAGCCAAGCTGGTCAGGCAATAATTCAAAACTTTTCAAAAACATTTCCTGTGTGTGTGTGTGTGTGTGTGTGTGTGTGTAGGGGAGGGGGAGGGGGATCGGGATTGAGCAAAAAAGGAAAAAAAAAGAGGAAAAAACGCATGGACATGGACAACAGTGTGGCAATTGCCAGGGGGGGTAGGGAGTGGAAAGGAAAGAGGGTGTGGGAGGAGGTGGAGAGGGTATTGGGGGGATTAATGGTGATGGATGGAGACTTGACTTGGGGTGGTGAACACACAATACAGTGTACAGATGATGTGTTGTAGAATTGTGCACCTGAAACCTGTATAATGTTGTTAACCAATGTCACCCCAATAAATTCAGTCAAAAATGCTTTATATTAAAAATTATAAAATGAAATAACATAAAAAATAAAAACATTTTCTGTAGATCAAATATTGTGGTCACTGTCATTAATATATATATGAATCATGAAATGGTTCTGTCACTTTCAAGAGAAGGTATTTTAAAGATTTAAGTGTGTAGAGACTTACATATATTATTTCTCATTTTTTAGTGTTCTAATATGTAGCAAATAGATCTTATTTTTGGAGAAGTTACATGATTATTTTTGGAGAAGATAGTACAATGTGTTCACTTAAACTTTAGTTATATAATTAATTTTTCCAAGTACAAATTTAAAATATATTACTTCATGGGTTTGTAAGGTTTACTTTCCTTAAGCTATTTTTTATTTTTGAAAGTGAAGAGCATTTAGTTTAATTACTAATTTTTTCCAGAGAAAGATAAAATCTAGGTACAACGTAGGCTATTCTGACAGAGGTAAAGTGGGGAGCTGAAACAGTTATCTGCTCCGCCCCTTAGTCCCCATTATAGGAGCAAAGGAGGCTTTTAAAATGACCTACAGTAATCTTGTCTGCAGGGATCCTGAAATAAAGGTGCCCTTTTTTTCTGGATTATAGCTGCAAACTAGGAATTAATCACAGAATATAGAATTCGGAGACTCCAGGTCATCAGTTTGTTAATTTTTAAAAATTTCAATTACAGTTTACATTTAGAATTATTCTGTATTAATTTCAGATGTACTGCATAGTGGTTAGACAGTCATGTGCTTCACAGAGTGGTCCTCACAATATTTCAGGTACCAACTGGCTCCATACAATATTACTGACTATATTCCCTATGCTGTACTTTACATCTCTGTGAGTCTTTTGTAGCTACCAATTTGTACTTCTTAATCCTTTCACCTTTTTTCACCCAGTCGCCCCAAACTCCTTTCCCTCTGGCAACCATCAGTCTGTTCTCTATGTCTATGAGTCTATTTCCATTTTGTTTATTCTGTTCTTTAAATTCTAAATATAAGTGAAATCATTTGCTATTTTTCTTTGTCTGAGTTATTTCACTAGCATAATACCCTCTAGGTCCATCTATGCCATCACAGAAGGTAAGATTTCATTATTTTTTACTAGTGGCCCAGTGCACGAATTCATGCACACTGAAAGTGAATTAATTAGAAGAAATATTTTTTTAATATATTTTATTGATTTTTTACAGAGAGGAAGGGAGAGGGATAGAGAGTTAGAAACATCAATGAGAGAGAAACATCGATCAGCTGCCTCCTGCACACTCCCCACTGGGGATGTGCCCGCAACCAAGGTACATGCCCTTGACCGGAATCGAACCTGGGACCCTTGAGTCCGCAGGCTGATGCTCTATCCACTGAGCCAAACCGGTTAGGGCGAAGAAATACTTTAATATTGCTA